GGGGGGGGGGGGGAGGATTTTCCTTAGCCTTTCTTGGAAGCCGTCGCCCGACCTCCGTTCTGGGGTGCAGGGAACGGTTCCAGTCCCACAGCGAATGCTTGATGGAGCTGCTGGGAGGCCTGGTCGGGTGCAGAAGAGTCGTCTCTGGCAAAACCAGGTTGGATGCACCCACCGGCCTCCTCCCCCCCACCGGCCTCTCCTTTGACCATGGATTTTTTGGGGCACCAACACAACCCATGTACAGATACCTTTGGGCTGAGCCAGCCAACCTGGGTGCTAAACGGGGCCACAGGGCAGAGACAGGAACCCGGGCTTCAAAACCCACTCACGCACCAAAACAAAGGCAAAGGCCGCATGTCCACTGGGAACCCCCCCCCCCAGAATGGTCCTTCTTGTCCACCACGGGGCGCTGCAAATTCCTAGCACGCTATGGCAGCCCCATGAGCCGTGGATGCTGGACCATGTGGCTGGAGCCCATGGGACATGATGAATTAGCACTCTGGCTCCCAGTGTGATCCATGGAGCCCTGCACGTAGGGTGTGTGTGTGTGTGTGAGTCCCTAGAGGTCCAGATGCATGGCTCAGAGTTGGGGTGAGCCACTTGGGTGGGTCCCTTTTGTGCCCCCCCCAGGACCTTGCCAGGCCCACTCAAACTATCTTAAGGGGGGAGGGCTAGAAGTCCACTTCCAGTTTCAAAAAAATGAAAAGATTGCGGGTGGACGCCTCCTCTTTGGAGGTTTTAAAGCTGAGGCTGGACAGACTCGTTCCTCCCTTGGCAGGGGGCTGGACTAGATGACCTTGGTGGTCCCTTCCAGCTACTTTACGATTCTAAGAAAAAAGGGTATTTAGGAGTGTTAAAAGGGGGACAGAGGCCCACCACTGCAACTTGTTCAAAACGAGAATGAGGGAGGGTTGCATACCCCTTTGGCCTCGTCACGGCGAAGAAGCACGGCGGCCGATACTGTTCATCCTTTAATAAAGCCACCACCCTCCACTCCTCTCCCAGTTCTTCCAAGGGCCCAGCAAAGCAAGGAGCCTCGTTGCCGGCTTCTCCGGGCCTGTGAAAGTGTTCGTTACGGGCTCCTGGCAGCAGGAAGATCCCATTGGGGGGGGAGTTGGTTGGAGTGAGGCTGCCGATCCGTTCCTGGCCACCATACAAAGTGCTGGTTTTAATCTATACAGTAAAGCCCTAAATGGCCTGCGCCCAAGCTATCTCAAAAACCACTGTCTTCGCTATACAGTAAAGCCCTAAATGGCCTGCGCCAAAGCTATCTCAAAAACCACTGTCTTCGATTATGTGCCTTCCAGGGTGTTAAGATCACCCAGGGAGGCATTTCTCTTGGTCTCACCATCTTCACAGATGCATCTGATGGGGACATAGATGAGGGCCTTCTCTGTCCCTGTGTGCAGACGGTGGAACTCCCCCCCAAGGGAGGCCGAGGTGGTCCCCTCTTGACTGTTCTTTCGCAAGCAGATAAAAGACCTTTCTCTTCAGACAAGCTTTCCCTGAATGACTGGCTGCCAGAGTGGTTTTTTAAAAAAGAATTGTTGTGCCTTGTTATTTTTAAATGTGTTTGTGGTGTTGCTTTTGTTTACTCCGTTTTAGTGCGGTGTTTGATCCTTTTTAATTTTTTGTATACTTAACTGTCTTTAGCTTTTAAATATAGTCTTTTACTGATGTACGCCACCCTCTGTGTGTGTGTGTGTGGATCTAATTTTTAAATTTTCATTTTAAATTTCACATATATATGTGTGTGTATTGCTTTCCAGACTCTTCAGCGCACCGGCTGCCCAACATCTCCTCTCCTCTCCTGTGCAGCCCCTCGTTTGGTGAGTCCAGCCTGCTTTCCACCCCCTTAGGAGTGAGGTGACCCAGTTGGCGACGTCGGGGAGGAAGAGGCCAAGCAGCCAAGTGCCGTCAACCGTCCAGAGGATCCCCAGGGAACGGTTGGCAAAGACCGAGGGAGGCGGGTCCGGCTAGTGGCCGTGGCTCCTTTTGCCAAGCTGAGAGGGAGAGCGCTTTGAGTGCTGCTTGGCCGACGGGTCAGGACCAGCCAGAAAGGGGTGTGTGTGTTCCTGCCCCACCTTTAGAAAACCCGGGAGCAGCTCACTACAAATAACACAGCAGAGAAAAGATCAGATCCCTCCCCTCTACCATTGAAGCCGAGGAGAATTGCATGCGAATTCTGGCTTAGGGTGACCCTCGCCAGGGTTTTCAAGGTACAGCAAGGACTCAGAAGGGGTTTCCCCTTCCCTTCTTCTCGGGGGGGGGGCACCTCCTGGGGTCGCGGTGCCACTTTGGCTCAAGGCCACCCAGGCTGGCTCTTCTCCCAGTGGGGAATCGAACCCCTGACCAACCTCCGGCTCCGCAGCCAGATAAGGAAGCCCAGTGGGGTATTTGTGCAAGGATGGTTGCCCTCCAGAACAGCTCCCGTGTTTTATGGTGGCACCAGGAAGGATGGGGTATTTCCAAGCCCCACAACCAGATTCTGGGCCAGTGTCACTATTTTGAGGTGGGTGGAGCTGTTGGTGGAACGCAAGAGGAAGAATCGTGTCAGGGCATCAATGTGGAAACAGCCTTCGGTGGGGGCCACGGCTCCCGCCTGCTTCGTTTTCCTTCTGAAACCAGGCAGAGGGTCCGATCCCTTTCCGACATCCCACTTCCTGGTCTTAGCAAACTTCCCTTTGTGGGTGCCTTAACCCGTCTCTGTTCCCCTCAGGACAAAAGTTTTCCGTCCTATGCCAGGGACACTCTGCTCACCCGAGCAGCAGCCTCGTCTACTGGCTGGCCAACGAGACTTTTGTGGATGACCTGTACCCAGACGGAGCCGTGACCCAGAGGAGCACCAGGTGAGCCCATGCGGCACCGCCTCCCGGCAGGACCTTCCCTCCCTCCTTCCTTCCTTCCTTCTCCAGGCCTTTGAAAGATTTCCGAAGAAAAAACCCCCTCCATGGCTGCCGATGGTTTTAAAACGCTGGTCTCCGTCCCAAAGCGCAGGCACGAAAAGGGCAATCCGAGGATGACCGCGAGGGGTATGTGTGTCTGCTTCCAATGGGGTTTGCAACCACCCTCTGTCAATGCTGAAATGGCAGGCAGCAGGTTTTAAAAAAGACGGCTTTCCAAAAAAAAAAACAAAACAAAAAAAACCAGCAGCAGCACCCTGTCCCTCGCCTCGGGTGGTGTGAAAAGAGGTGCAGAAATGGGTGCACAGCAGAAAGTCAACCTCGCAGGGTGGAAGCAGGGAAGATTTTCAGGAGGGCTGGCGTAGAACTGCTGGGATTGCTCAGTGGTCCGGCTGTAGAGGCCGAGGCTGGAGGGTTGGATTCTGTGCCTCCTTGACAGGGGCTGGACTCGAGGATCCAGGGGTCCCGGCCAGCTTTGCAGTTCTAAGATGATGATGATGATTCCCCACAACAGGCAGAAATTCACATTTATGCCAGAGTGAATGAATGAGATACACCAGGAAGCTGAAGAGGGACGGCTCATTTTGCAACCTTTTCAGAATCCTAGAATCATGGAGCGGGGAAGGGTCCTTGAAGGTCATCCAGTCCAACCCCCCCCCAATCAAGGCAGGAATCTCAATCAAAGGAGATCCAACACGTTCTTTTTCTCTTTTTCTCTTGAAGGCCTCCGTTGTTGGAGCATTCAACACCTCTTGAGGTCGTAGGTTCTTGCCGACAATCTGATTTTTTAAAGTGCAAAGTACACTGTTCGCTGCCCAAACTTCCCTTCTGAGTGAGACACGTGTTCAACCACCACTTGGGTTGAGCTGAAAGCAACTGTGGCTACAAAAGCAGCCTTGTTTTGCACACCCTAAAACCAAATCCACCCCCTCCAAATCCTTCACGTCGGTTCCCTGAATCCACCATGGGGCAGCCGCTCCGTTCTTCACCAACATTACATGAAAATCAAAGCAATATATAGATATCTTTAGTAGAATGTATGCTTTGAATCTCTTCAAAAAAGACGTACTGAGATCTCTTTGAGCAGAAGGGCCAGATAACTTATTACCTTTGTTTAGACTGGAAAAGAAGAAGAGTCAGGCTGATTGGGGGGGGCGGGAAATGATGCCCCTTCTATATGGACTGCCCACCTTGTGCCTCTGTATTGGCAGAAAAGCAGGGTGTAAGCCAAGCAGAGCAAGGCATACCTTAACCGGGCAACCTTACATCCGGTGCCTCTGCAGCTCACAAATATGTATGTCCAATCAAACTTGAAATATCTTTCAGCCAGCACAAAGCTCCTTGTCGTTGTTTTGCTATCGCAGGTGTACCCAGTTACCTTTCTTCCCCCCCCCCATAAAGAGCCCAGAGCTGCCCCTTGAGTCAAGTGGCTGGCAAAGGGAGGCTCCGTTTCCCAGCCCTCCACTGCCACGAAAATGATGCCAAGGACCTCCCGGAGCTCCCAAGGGCTGCTCTCTCTCGCTCACCGCCGCGCCCCAGCCCTCCTTCCCCCCTCCACGTAGCCCTGCTCGCCCTCTCCAGCGGCTGGTCTCCTCTGCTTCCCCCACAGGGAGAGCCTCAAGTGCGCTGGGCGCCTGCTCCTGCAGCGGAAGCTGATCTTCCGTGCCTTCTCAGAGAAGGACTTGCAAACGCGCTTTCAGTGCACCATCCTGGATCCGGCCGGCGCAGTCCGGAAGGCGATCACCTGGCAGATGAAGAGTAAAAAAGGAGCGCCAGGAGACTGTTGAGCAGAGCCCGGCTGGGTAAGTAAGGCCCCCTGTTTGGGGAAATGCTGGAGAAGGCGGAGAAGCAGCCCCTGCCACGCTGCAGAGCCATCCCTTTTAGAGAACAATGGGGTAAACCTCTGGGTACTGCCTGGGAAGGTGGCCCACCCATGGCCGGCTTGGCTTGGCTTGGCTTGGCCCCCAACGTCCACTCCCCTTCCCGTCTGCCAAACAGCATTCCTCCTCAATGGAACAGAACCAAGCTGTGGGGACCAGCTGGACCCCCTCCCCTCCCCCCGCCCGTGTCTCCCTGACCAAGGGCAGCCGGGGCCGAGAAAGCTACCCTGCCTGGGGGCCTCTTGAATGCCTGGGAGGAGGAAGATCCTGCTAGGTTGCCCATGTTTTTGCCCAGGTTTGCTTTCCGTTAGGCTTCCCCCGCCTCTGCTCAGGCCACCCATAAACCAGGAGTTCTGGCTACGAGCTTGGACAGAGGGACACCCAGGCACAGGCAAACAGACAGACACCCAGCCCTGCATCTCGTTCTGGCTCTGCAAGCAGCGGAGCTGGGCGACCCCTCGCTTCCTCCTCCTCCTCCTCAGCCCTCTTCACGCCCGCAAAGGCTTCACTGTGTTAGTTTGTGGCATCGTTGAGACCTTGCCCGATGAAACGCCTCCAGACTCTCCTCCACCTTCCACCCCCAACCCTCAGACTAATATATGGACAGACACAGGCAGGTGGGCAGTATTCTGCAGGGTTTAGTCTGACACACACATACATAGGGTGAGCTTCCATGGCCGAGCAGGGGATTAAAAGCCAGGCCTCCAGAGTACCTAGGCGGTCACTCTGTCCACTACACTGCACTGGGTACCCCTTAATGACCCGGCCGTTGTGGGAAACCGGAGCCCTTGATCGTGCAGAGAGCCTACACACAAGCAACCACCTCTTGCCTTCAAGCTCATCCGCTGTTGGGGGAATGGCACAAGGAGTGATGGAGGAGAAGGCCTGGGCCCTTTTAAGCAAGCCGATGAAACCTACTTTGGTGGCTTGGGGGAATGGCACAAGGAGTGATGGAGGGCAAGGCTGGGCCCTTTTAAGCGAGCCGATGAAACCTGCTTTGGTGGCTGTAGGTTTTTCGGGCTGTTTGGCCATGTCCTGGAGCCCAGTGGGATTTTTCGTTCCTCTGCGAGCATCATATCATATCAAGCAAACCTCCCCGGGATTTGGTTGTGATGCAGCTGTTTTTCTCTTTGTTCAGGTCATCAGTTGTTTATAGAGGAATTTCCCAGTTTTGGTTATGAATTAACCCTATGGTTGTTGTAGGTTTTTCGGGCTGTTTGGCCATGTTCTGGAGGTTTTTCTGCCTACTGTTTCACGTCTCTGTGGTTGGTATCTTCAGAGAACAGGAGTTAGAACTCATCTGTGTTCTGGTGTCATGTGTGGGATAGTTGAGTATTTGTAGCTGTGGGATCAGCTTTTTGTCCTTTTCAGGAGATTGGGCGATTATGGTGATCAGGGTGTTTTTTGTTATGGGTGTATTTTGATAAGGGGGGGGGCAATGATCTGTCACGTGATTGATGGATGTCGTTAGCTAATCTTGTGTACAGTGATTACACCCATAACAAAAAACAAAACAAACACCCTGATCACCATAACCCCCCAATCTCTTGAAAAAGAGCAGCCAACCCCCAGGGACCTGGCATTCACAGCTGCCCAGCAGTGGCTCAAGGAGCAATAAGCATTTTTTCTTCTTTTTCTTCACTTCATTAAAGGCTGGGGTGCCACCAGGAGCAGCCGCCGCTAAGTAACAAATGAACCTTCCAAGGTCCACGAAGGGCATTCTCAACCACCACCGGGACCACCACCATTCCTCCCTGGGGGCCTCCGCTTTCTTCAGTCTTGCAAGCAGCCTCCACTCTCCTCCTGATCAAATTTGGGAGCAAACGTTGCCTCTCCAGGAAGGAGGGAAACAGAGGATTGTCCTGGTGGGGAAACAATTTCAGGAGATGCCAGCCCTATGGTTGTAAACTCCACACCAGGCTTCAAACACCATGCAAAGCTATTTCAAATAAATCTGCTTATGCCCCTACTTGGAAAAACACGGGACAGCTGTATGTGATTTTTCTATGCTTTTCCCTATTTATCTCTCCCTCTTAGCATTTTTAAAATTGAGAAACCTTAATGCTACCAAAACGACAGAAGGCCTCGCCGGCCTCCTGGTGGAAGAGTGTGTGTTTGGCCAACCAGTGTTGCCTTCCACCCTCCTACCCTCAGTGGACATACTCCTCCTGCACGCCGTTTTGGCCCTCTAGCTTGAACAACGGCAGGTCCCCCAATGTCACAACCTTCTTTGATAGACAGGGAAGGGGCTCGATCACCCTGGCTCTCCTTTGATCCAGCCTTCCTAGGTTCAGTGCCCAGGTCTTAGCCAGCAGGGTCTGGGAAAGAAAGACCCACCTTGGCCTGCAACTGGGAGGAGGAGGAGGAGCAACTAAGAGGCGGCCAGGACAAGAGAGTGAGTTTTTAGACCTGTGCAGATCTGGTCCCGTTGTTCACACCACAGCGACGAGGAGCAATTCCACCTGCTTTACTTCAGTTCCTGGATGTGTCCGAATAAATCACATTTTGGGCGGGTGGGTGGAAGCGCAAACCGTGGGAACTCAGAAAAGGCCCTCTGCATGGGATCAGAGGCATTGTCTTCTTCCTCCTGGCACCAGCTTGCCCAGCACTGGCTCCCAGGTTTTCTAAATACGCTCCAGGACAAATCCTGTCCGTGTCCAGCCTTCCTCCGTATTTCATCCTGCCTGCAATCTCACTCCCTGCTCCCCCAGGGATAAGCTCCACCGAACCTCTGGACGCTTCCTTTTGGGTAAGCAAGCAAAGGACTGGAGAGTGTGGGAGCACCACAGAGAAAAAACAGTCAATGCACCGTTGGGAGAAAAATACCATTTATTTACAAGTAGAAACATTATTTAAAATGACACATTTGATTTCTAATCTCTCTACAAAGGCGAATGAATATTAGAGAGCTGCAAGTGGAGGGCGAATTCAGGCCGTGTCCCCCCCCCTTCATCCAGCCCAGGAACCAACTCACCAGGGCCACTCACTCAAGGAGCCAACCCCACCACCGGCCACCTCCTTACCGACTCCACACGTTGGTACTGACCCCAAAGCTAGGCAAAGAACCCACCTGCCAGGCAGGTCCCTCCTGCTTGCTCTGCCGCTTCCTTCCTGCCACATGCTGGAGGATGCGGCACTGAGGCGGCCAGCTGGTCTCTGGGGGCCTCCAGAAAACGGGAGAACAGAGCCCCACATGGATCGGAAGGAGGGGACTGCTCTGTTGTGATGCTGAGTGGGATGCTCTCCCGCACCAGCCCCACTGAAATGAAGGAGTGCCGTGCTAGGTTGAGAGTGTGGCTCCAAAGAGCTCTTGTTCATTTCAAGGGGGAGCTTCCTCCTGGAGTGGGCCCTTCCCCTGGAAGAGGAGCGCCCACTTTCAGCCAGTCCTTTCCAGGCCCTGGGGGAAGGGGGGAAACTCCCCCTCCAACAGCCATGAAGCCCTTGCTCCCTCCCTTCAAGTGGAACACCACACTGAAGGCTCCCCCACCGCAGCGCCTACAGAGTACAATACAAAGCAACACAGCTATGGAAAGCCTGCAAAATAAAGGGAGGGGAGGTGTATGCCCAGCCTGAACAAAGTAGGTCCTTCTGCCCGCTCACCCCCATCAGAAAGAAGCCTTTAAGACGTCCGCCTCTGTCCCCTTCCAAAACCACTCGGAGATCCTCTAGCCACTACCGTCCTGCGAAAAAGCCACACACACACACACACCCCTCGGGCAAAGCCAGTCCAGCTCTCAAAGAAGGTGGTGGGGAAGCGTGTGCAGGAGAAGCTCCGGGGCCCTGCAGGGATCCGGCCTCAGGCTCCTGGTGGCAAAGGGGCGCAGCGAACGCTCTTGGGCCTCTGCCGGAACCCTTCCCTTCTCCAGCTCTGGATGGACGGCTGGGGCCCCAACCACCAAGGAGTCTGGAAAGGGGCCGCTTTGCCCCCGGAACCTTCTTGCAAAGGGAAGAATGTACACGAGAGGGGAGGGGGCAGGAGGGGGGAGGGGCAGCGCAGCAGCTGGGCAGCCTCCAAGAGCTCTTTTGTACTCTGTGGGGCCGGCTCAGGTTGCCCGAGGCTCCCTTAGCCAGCAAGAAGGGACCAGAAGTGGAAAGCCGAGCTTCGGAGGAGGAGGCGGAGGGGTCGCCCCCACAGAGCCTAAAGCCAGAGGGAGGTGGACGCGCCAGCACGGAAGCAGAACCTCCCATTCCTGCAGGAACACCTCCCCATCCACCCGCCCACCGCCCCCAATCCCTTCTTGGTTTGGTCAGTGTGGCAGGCGTTTCTGCCACCCGCTGAGGCTCACCGCTACCTGGGGAGGCTGGACTGCGGAATCTGGACAGTTTGAGCAGAGGCCGATTCAAGGCTGGAGCATGGAATGGTTGGGGGGTTTGCCCCCTTTCACCAGCAAAAATAACCAGCACATACACACTGCAATCGAGGAGGGGGAACGCGCCCCTCCACCTGCTCATTCCTCCATCTGAACAGGTTTGCTGCCTCACACACAGGGTGATCATGCATGCGGGCGGGTGGGCAGGCGGGCGGAGGGGGACAGATAAGGTGTCACCGCACCCAGTGGCATCCTAACAATTTCCTCTTCTTCTTTTAAACATGGGCATCCTCTGACTCCTGGGGAGAGCTGGAAGGGGAGACGACAGGAGGTGGTGCGGTTGCTGGCAACTTAGCTGGTGGCAGAGGCAGGGCAGCGCTGGCACCTTGCACCCTTTCCTCTGGGGAGACACAGAAGATGGGGGTCTTTTCCATCAGAACAAACCATGTCAGAACTTTGTGTTCCTCAGCGACCTGGAGTTTGCCTGTGAGAACAGAACAGAACAAACAAAAATAAGCATCAAGAGCTGAGCCACCCCGTAGGGCTCCTGCTGGGGAGTCGGGCGGCCCACTGGCAGGCAGAGGAAGAAGTCTCTTCATGCCCACAGGGCACATCCTCCGCATCTGGGGGCGGGGGAATCGCCTCTGCTAGCCCCACAGCAAGGAGGCGGCCTCAGCCACGGGTACGAGGGGGCCTTCCCGCAGCTCCCGCCCAACTCCTTCCATGAGGCTGGCCTGAGAAACCGTTACGGAGGATTGTGCTAGGTAGGTAGGAAGGTAAGAAGGAAGGTAGGAAGGAGCCAGCCTCTTTCTTGGCCACCTGCAGGAGCCTCCAAAGCCTGCCACCCGATGCCTCCGCCTCACTTTACGGCACGAAGTGCTCAAGGAAGCAGGCAAAACCTCCTTCCGACACCCCATTTCTGCACTCCTGGGGCCTGCCTGAGGCTCCCTTAGCTAGCATAAGGACGTAATAAGTACCCTGCATAATTAACTTGTAAACCGCTCAGAGAGTGCTTTAAGTGCTATGGGATGATAGATAAACCATGTGCTTTACTTTGGTTTGTTAATATGTGTTTGTTTTTTTAAAATGAGATATTTTATACTGGGTTTCTTAATTTGTTGTTTTATATACACTGTGAGCCATTTTGGGGCTTCATGGAAAGAAAAGCAGCATCGAAAACTCAAAACACATACAAAATCCAAGAAAAGCCCAGGAGGAGCTCACAGCTTCCCCCCCTCTCCCCGAACTGAATCATGCACCTCCAAGAACTGTTTGTCTCAAACGGTTTTATTTATTAATATAGTAATTAATTAAACAAACAAATGCAATGACATGAAACGGGTGGTGGGGGGGGGAAGAGAGGCTGTGTTTAATGTTTAGAACGGGACAGATGGAAAGCCTGAGCATTATTTTTGAGACAAACGGTTCTTGGAGGTGCATGATTCAGTTTGGGGAGCGGGGAAAGATGTCAGCTCCTCCTGGACTTAGCTTCGACTTTTATGTTTTTATTTTTCGATGGCACTACACTGGGAACATTCAGGCAGATTCAGTGAGATGAGTCCATAAAAACAAGAAGGACATACGCAGCCGCCTGCGTCTTCCCTTCCCGGCGCTCTAAGCTCACGCTGAGAAGGATGAAAGGGTGGGATGGGGAGATTCCCGGCACCCTGGGGGAAAGGCAGCCTTGCCTCTTCTGAACAGCCCTTGCCACGAACCTGGACCAAAAGCAAACCCCCCCCTTAATCCATGCTGTCTCCCTGTCTGCAGAAGCTTGTGGGATTCCTCCTGCCAGCAGTGGCGTTTGTTCACTGGCTCTTCTGGCAAACAGCCACTGTGTTTATAGGAAGGAGTATGAGTGCTAAGTTTCCATGATTTCTTGGCTGTTTCACGATGATGTATGTAACCTAAGCACTCTAAGACACGCGGCCCTTTCTTTATCGAAAGAGGAAGGGAGGGAAGGTGCTGAAGTCGCCTCCTCCTCCTCCTCCTCCTGTGCGCAGGGACAGCCGAACGCATTCCCTTAGCACCCGTCGGTTGCAGCACGCACGACAGGGTTCCCGTAGCGCAGCCCACGGCACCTTGCAGGCCCACTCCCACACCCCTACCTTGCCCTTGGGAGACACAGATGTCCTGGGGGATCTCCGGGTCCCTCCTCGGGGCGAGTTCTTCGGAGTCACTTTGCGGTTCACCCCACGGCGCAGAAGGCTGTTGCCCAGTTTCTTCGGTGTATTCAGAATGCTGAAGGCCAGTGACTGGCGCCTGTCTGTCTGCAGGAGGAAAGGAGGAAGGATCACTTGGGGGTTTCGATGCTTCCTCAGCCCTTCCGCCCTCTCGGCCTCCCCAGGCGAGGGAACCCCCTGAACATCTAATGTTCCCTGTGTGTTTGTAAACTGTCCCTCCAGGGGCACACGGTTACTGGTGCACAGCCCATCCTCACGGCATCTGCTGAGGCTCAGCGAACCTGTCTCCAGGTGATGATGCCTTTACGTGCCGTTCCCGAGGTCTCCTGCCCACAGCACCATGACAGCTTTAACTCGGCAAAGCTTCCGATGCCCCAGAGCCCCCGGTGAGGACGGCAGGCTCGGTGCGCTCCTCTCACCTGTTTGTCAGCTGCCGGGGCTTTGGCCTTCTTGCCTCCGGCGTGGGCGCTGTGCTTGCGTTCCTCGGCCCGCCCTTTGGGGGTCTGTGGCCGTGGGAAACAGCTGGCAGATTTCTTGGACTGGAGGGAGGAAACAAGAGGTTGGGGTCTGGAAGAAGAACTCGGGGGGGGGGGTTGCGCCCCTGGACAAAAGCTCTGTGGTCCAAGGAGAGCAGCCGCTCCAAGAACACAAGCAGCCCTGCCCCCACCCCCACCAAACCTTCAGGGGCCGCGGAGAGGGAGAAAACCAAGAAGAAGCAAGGCTGGAACACAGAAGGGAAAGGCTCCTTTCTCAGGATGGCCGCCCCAAGTCAGAAACATGTCAACACCAGGAGATGCAAGAGGCCTCCTGCAATGCCTGCCCCTTTGAGGGAAGGTCATCTTTTCTCCTTCCAAGCCCTACAGAAGTCTTCTGACGGGACCACTGCCAAGATGGGACCTCTCTATGGCTTTGTGGGACCTCTCTATGGCTTTGTGCTGGCTTTGTGGATTGCCCCAATGATCCAAAAGCTGGGCATGCATTTAGCGGAAGGATGAGCAGCAAATGGGGGAAAGAGCAGCATCTGGCTCCTCACAAGAAGAAGTCAGCCAAACGGAGCTACCACTGACAGGACACAGGTATGTTCGCCCCAGCCACCCCAAGCCGATCCGTGATGCGTCTCAGAGCCTTCCCCCTCGCGCTGCCGGGCGTCTTCAAAACACCACAGAGCTGCCCACCTCGGGGGTCCCGGGGCCGTGCTGGGATTCATCTGAGAGGCGCTTCCTCTGCTGTCGGGTGGCAACCCCTCCTGCTGCCCAAGTGGAACTGAGGGTGCTGCGGCGGGTGGTCGGGCCCTCGGCAATCTGAGAAGGCAGCATGCTGGCACGCCGGAGGGTCTCCTTCGGGTCGCCAGTCATCATCTCCTCGTCTGTGATGGTTGTGAGTGACTGGGAAGGCTTGCAAAGCAAAGAGGGAAGAGGAGGAGGGGGGGTCTCTTTAGAAATGGGCCTTCCACATAAAAAGAGGAATGCAGGAGAGAGACGGCGAGCCAGGCCTGCCACCCACCCCCAGGGAAGCTTCTCAGTCTCAGACAGGTCAGCCCACACGGCTTAGGGTGGAAAGGCTGGTCCCAGGGCACAGACTTAACCAGCGCCCACAACAGCCTCGTCAGCTTATCCCATGGATGCTGCCGGCTTGGGAGGCTGCCCTGTTTGGAATGGTTTGGCCAAGACTGAGGCAAGCCAGTGGAGGTGAGGAAGCAGCACCAGGAGGGGGGGGGGGAGAGACGGAAAACCAACTGATCCCCTTCTTGCATTCCAACTGATGGGCACAGCTGTATATAAAGCTTGACGTCCCTGGCTGGTGTAACTCTGCCGTTCCTAATTCTCAAAGACAACCAGTCCTTCCATGACTACTGTGGCCTGGGATGGGTTGGCAGCGAGTGGGAAATGTTTACGCACAGGGTGGATTGTATTCTCCAAGGCTTTCACAGTCAGGATCCGATGGTTGTTGTAAGTTTTTCGGGCTACTACTATGACATAGTATCCCAATTCACCAAGGTACTGATAAAGGACACTCTGACACTCATCCAGCAGATCTTTCTAGAAGACATCAAGACCCTTTTCCAAAACTGCCTAATGAACAGCTACTTTCAGTGGGATAATGACTTCTATGAACGGACAGATGGAGTGGCCATGGGGAGCCCCCTCAGCCCGGTTATGGCAAACTTCTACATGGACCATTTCAAAAAACAGGCCCTGATTTCGGCACCCTTCACACCCACAGTCTGGTTCCGATACGTGGATGACACCTTCGCAACACAGTGAAGAAAACTTGGAAGAATTTCTAAACCATCTCAAATATACAATTCCCCATGGAAAAAGAAATAGAGGGCCAACTCCCTTTCTTAGATATCATGGTCATACGCAAAACTGACCTCCTACTGGGACACAAGGCCTACAGAAAACCCACCCACACAGATTGGTACCTACACAAAAAACTCCAACCACCACCCACGTCAAAAAAGAGGCATAATCAAAACACTGATAGACCGTGCAAATCGGAACTATGAAGCTCAATTTCTCAGCACCGAACTCACCCATCTGAAGTGGGCCCTACAGGCAAATGGCTATTCCAAGAATGAAATTACAAGAGCCATCAAACCGAGAAAACAACACCGAACTGAAGAAGAAAAACAGCCACCCACAAATATTTTCTGCCATATATCAAAGGGGTCACGGAAACTTTTGAAAAAACACAACCTACAAACAGTATTCAGGCCCATCACAAAAATTCAACAAATGTCACGGTCAGCAAAGGACAAAAGGGACCCCATCACCACTGCAGGGGTATACCAATACCTTGGTTGTGGCCAGGTATATATTGGAACCACAAAACGCAGCATTCCCACCAGAATCAAAGAACATGAGAGACACTGCAGACTAAAACAACCAGAAAAATTGGCAGTAGCTGAACATGACCTGAAACAAGCTGGGCATGAAATCCTATTTCAAAACACAGAAGTACTGGACAATACCAGCAATCATTATGTTAAGTCTGCACAGGGAAGCCACTGAAATCCACAAACATCAGCACAGCTTCAACCAAAAAGAAGAAAGTCTAAAACTCAACAAAGCCTGGCTCTCAGCACTGAAAAATACAGCCTGCAAAAAGGTCAATGAACTCTACCCAGCCACAAAGACCGGTGATCACTGTACACAAGACTAGCTAACGACAACCATCAATCACAGTGACAGATCACCTCCCCCCTTGTCACAACCATACACCCATAACAAAAAACACCCTGATCACCATAATCACCCAATCTCCTGAAAAGGACAAAAAGCTGATCCCACAGCTACAAATACTCAGCTATCCCACACACGACACCAGAACAGAGAGTTTTAACTCCTATCCTCTGAAGATGCCAGCTAGAGACTGGCGAAACATTAGGAAGAAAAAGCTCCAGAACATGGCCAAACAGCCCGAAAAACCTACAACATCCATAGGGTTAATTCACAACCAAAACTGGAAAATTCCTCTATAAACAACTGATAACCTGAACAGAGAGAAAAGCAGCTGTATCACAACCAAATCCCGGGGAGGCTTGCTTGATATGATGCTCACAGAATAATGAAAAATCCCACTGGGCTGAAGTCCCCTTGAATGGGAAGGAGAAAGGCTGCTTTGAAGCCCCCCCAGTGTATTTTTAAAAATGCCTTTGTTACTGATTGTTTCTCACAGGCTAAACATCAGCCTCGAAAGCCCCAAGGTTGAATAAAAGTAACACGTCCAGGCAATGAGATGCCACTGCAGTCATTGCAAGAATGCTGATGGTCTTGAGGAATCAGAGGCCTCAGATCAGCTGACTACCCCCAAATGTCACTCTCTTCCCTCCCTGCTTCTCCTTTACATTAAGATTCCCTGGAAACCTCTATCTGGTCGCTGTGGGATGCTTGTTCCAACCTAGAAAGGGGCTCAGTGCACGTGTGTTGTGCTCTCACCCTGGACTCCAGTGGGTAGCAGGTCTTCAAATGAGGGGGGCACACTCGGTTGCGCTGCTGGAGCTCGGCAATGCGGTTCCAGTCATCCAGCGGTTCAGGCTCATCCTGGCACGTTCCCGTGTAGAAGCTGCTGCTGCGGCGCCCTGGGAAGGAGAAAAACAGGCAGACGAGACTCAGCCTTGCTCCTCCTCTAGGGGGCAAGGCCAAACCCTCGCACCCGCATCGCCCTAGGTGCCTCTCTCCACTGCACAGGACAACCAATTCACAGTGGGCTGCAAAGGCAGGCTTCCTGGGGCCCCCAACAGTGTTTGGCTAGGTGGAGGCCACAGTGGGGGGGGGAGAAGGGGGGCTGCCGTGCCTGCTTTCCAGAAGAGCAAAGGTGCGTCCTTTAATTAATTAATTAGATTTATATCCTGCCCATCTGGTCTGGTCGACCACTCTGGGAGGCTTCCAATAAGGTGTATACGATAAAACATAAGAATTTTACAAACAGTCCATAACACATACAATAATAAAACAAATCATAAATGAAAGAAAATATAAAGAAAGAATTAAATATTGACAGGAGGGAGGGCCTGAACATACAACCATGTTTTTAGTTGACTCTCGAAAGTGCCCAGCGTAGGGGCCGCACGAATAACCGGAGGAAGGTTATTCCAGAGACGAGGAGCCACCGCTGAGAAGGCCCGGTTTCGTGTCCTTTCCTTCTGGGCCTCCCTCAGCGTTAGGCTCCTCAGCCTCACCTCCTGGCTCATGCGGGTGATCCGAGTAGATCTAGTTGGGAGCAGGCGTTCCGCCAAGTATCGGGGTCCTAAACAGTTTAGGGCCTTATATGTAAACATTAACACTTTGAAGTCAATGTGGAAACGGATGGGCAGCCAGTGCAGCATGGCCAGAGTAGGAGAGATATGTTGGTATTTTCTCACTCCAGTAAGGAGTCTGGCCACTGCATTCTGCACCACCTGAAGTTTCCGCGTCAGCTTCAAAGGCAGCCCCACGTAGAGCGTGTTACAGTGGTCTAATCTAGAGATTACGAGCGCATGTACTAAGGTAGTGAGCGCCCCTGTG